CGCCACTTCCTTCCTCCCTCCCTCCTTCCCTTGTCCGCCTTCCCTCCCTCCCTCCTGGCCTGCCTCCCCTCCCCAGAAGGCTGGGTACACAAGATCTTGTAAGTATTTCTAAATATATAATGAGATTAGTTTTTTAAAATTTGAGTAAGAATTGTCAAAGTTCAGTAAAACTTTGTTGCACTTTGCCCTGTAATAAAAATAGTGCATTCAGTGCACAGCTAGAGACCAGTAAATAAATAAATAAAATTTAAATGTAACAATTTTGCCACAATTTGTACGTCAGCAAAAAAAGGCTGAGCTGAATTTCCTAACAGTGACTAAGAAATACTGGTTAAAATTTTCATGCAGATACCTGGAAAAATTCTGGTGAATTATTTGGTGCACGCTGAATCCAATAAGCAGCGAAAAATTGAAGGGGAACAAAGGGCTGGCAGAGGGAAGGCTATCTGGATAGCCTGCAGTACTTTGAAATCCCTTTATTGAAGTATAGACACAAGTAATTAAAATCTGTCTTCGTGAATTCCCAGTGAGGTGCGTGCTAGGCTAGAAGCAAGGTGTCATAACACTCGCAGTAATCTCTTTTTTCATGTTTGGGCTGTTGTGTACTTGGACTGATGTAAACAAGCAAAGCTTCTGCTCAGACTTGTGTGTGTTGTAGGAGTGGGTCTGCCCATCAGCAGTTCCCATTGTTCAGTGGTTTTGTTGCTCTGTATGTGGTGCAGTAAGCACTACTGCTTGAATCAATTCTCTAAGGAGACATCTTCAGCTGACTTTTCTGATAAGTCTTTTCTGACTCATGATGTAGAGTTATGAGTTACAGTGTTAGACTTGCACCCTAGGCTTACTTAGCCTTAATAGGGCCTAGGTTTTCATACCTTATTGTAATTTATTTTTCTCGCAGGCCTGCTCCTATGCCAGGAGTATTCCTGGTAAGATGTATTAGAAGGTGCAAACATATACATATACCAGGCCTTCTCACTGGTTTCCTTAATTTACCTTAATTTTCTGTGTGTCCACGAAAAGTATTTCCTTTCTAGACTCAGTTTCTGGTCAATATGCTCACATTTAAAGAAACAAGTAAAATGCCAAGATATTTTTGCTTTGCTGTTTTTTATCATCAAAACAGTTTGTGGTAGTTTTGAGTTTTAAGGTGCTGCTGTGGAGGTCCTGTGCTGAGGTTTCCTAGTACTTGATAGGAGTTACTAGTGAAAATTGGATTGTGGGGTCCTTCTAGCTTCATGCTTTTTAGCGGTAAAAATAATATAAATATTTATTTTCTTCCATTGATTAATACTGTTGGTGAGCTTATGTTCCATGTTTTATTAACCGAACAGTAACAGTAATCGCTTTTCCCTTTGTTTTAAATTCCTAGACAATAAAACCTGCAGATATTGCCACTGTCCGTACACTGGGTCGACCTCCTCACCTCATCATGCGTATCATGGACTGTGTGTTGCTGCTCTTCCAGCGTAAAGTCAACCATGTGAAAATTGATCAGGAAAAATGCTGTACTGTCCCATCATGGCAAGAATCTCTGAAGCTGATGACAACAGGGAACTTCTTACAGAGCCTGCAGGTGCTTGTGCAATCTTTATTTTTTTTTAATAATGTAAGAAAATAAAGGACAGTGCTTTCTCTGGTGTTCATAGGAGAACAAATGTGCAAGGGAAATCGCACAATAGATGTTAAGGGCCTAAGAATAAATATGTCAGAATGAAATAAGCTTTAACCCTTCTTGCAAAGTCATGTTATAAATCAATTATCATTTTTCTGAAGTAAGGCAATGAAATTGTTTTAAGTGACAAATGACCCAAAGCTTTAAGAATTTGGTTTGGATAGCCATTACCCATTTCATTAAAGCTAATAAGAAACATTTTTTTCTGGTATTTAACTTTCCATTAATTTTCAACATTGCAGCTTGTGCACTGGCTTGAAAAAGCATAGATGTTTATTAGGATGAACACAATCAGAACTTTTTAAAATCTGTTTTTTTTTGGTTCATAGCATTTGTCTAGGGAAATGGAAACAAACTGGTAAGCAAATACCTATCCATAACTAAACCTAATAATATTGTGATTTATCTAGTGGGAATAAATGGTACGTTTTCCTGCTACACGGCGTGTTTTCATCCCTGATTTTTGCATTTTTAGTTTACTTAATTTGTCACTGGTGTAGTAGGAGGCTTGACCAGTTTTGTATGGTTGATAGTGGCATGGATGTTATTTATGTAGTATTCACATTGCATCTACTTGTAAAGGTTTTTAATTTTCTGAGGGACTTCAACATTTCATTTTGCTTGTGCTTAATTAAACCTATTTGTGCTTCAGGGAACAGCTATTTTCCAAGTTCTGGAATAGGGTTTCATTATACTTTGTAAATAAATTTGAGGGATAAAATGGAGAGCTTTTCAGGAGGAAAAAGGAAAAATGGGCTTTTTCAAGAGAAGAGTAAAAATATATTCTTTAAAAAATTAAATACATTCTATTAATTAGACAAGGTAATTTAAGGGTAAGATGGCTGGCTTGCCCTTTGCAAGGACTGTCTTCTAGGATGTATATTTTTGAACAAGAGTTTAGCTCTTCATTTTCTTTTTGAAGATTTTCAAAACTTACTATGTCTTAAGCAAAATAAAATTTCAAGCAGGACCAGTGATATTTTGAAACAATGATTATCTGTGTGACAGTAATGGTGAGTGTGAGATAGCAAAGATCATAAATGAAGGCAAACTTTTTTCCATGTTCTAAGTATATATAACAATGGAATGACTTTGTGAAGGTCTCAAGGGTGCATGTGAGAAATAACTCCATATTAGCTGTTTGTAAGTAACACTTGTGATCTTTGTAGTTTTCTATGTGTTCTGAAATACATGTATATATAATTTACACTAATTACTTATATTTTGTGTCTTGTACTTTTAAAAATTTTTATTCAGCATTTTCAGAAAGACACAATTAATGAAGAAGTGGTAGAACTTTTGAGCCCTTATTTTGAAATGGTGGACTACAACATTGAGACGGCTAAGAGAGTATGTGGGAATGTTGCTGGCCTTTGCTCATGGACCAAAGCTATGGTGGTATTTTTTTCCATCAACAAAGAAGTATTACCTTTAAAGGTATGTCTGTAGTTCAGTCAAAGACACTTCTCCTTCTCATCCTTACCTGTTTGCACTTGAGGATTTAATCTGTGGGAAACTTCATCTGCCTTATTTGAACTGGTGCTTCCCTCTCCAGAAATTTATTATTTTGAACACTGTAATTCTACAATAAAATTATATTTCAAATGTACTTCCACTTGTAAGTTGTCAAAATTATGAAAGAGGTGGTGTGGTTTTATGACTCTGGACTCCTAGTGAATAGGGTTAAAGCATCTGTCATCTAGTTAATTTGTCTAGTTAATCTGTCATGCAGTTGCTCTTTTTTTTAAAATTTTGAATTAAGTAGAAAAAAGCCTTGAGATTTAGTTATTTTAATGTTCCAGATCTCAATTCATAAGAAGATTGTAGAGAGACTCTTTATCAGTGTTATGTAGAGAAATAAAACAGGCCTAAGTAGTTAGAATGAAAGTCAGGAAGAACATGGTCAAGTATGTTTAACAGAGAGTAGCTTGTATTATAATAAGAATGACTGAGAAGGGAGCAAAATTTGTGTTTTGACCTAGCATATTGGTTGGACAAATCAAGTAGACTTCTAGAAGCATCATTCTCTTCTGCAAGCTATGTCAGACTAACATTTGTGTCATATGAAGAATGACTGGCATTTCCAGAATCATTCCAGAATTTCCAAATAATTTTCAATGATTTTTTTCTAATTGATATTAAACCAGCTGTTCAAGTTTAGCTATCTGAGGTAAGAATTTAGTTTGTTTAAAAAATAAAAGGTTTTGCTGAGTGATGAAATCTCTCGTGAAGAATTTTATTTGGAAATGTAGTACAGTAAAACTTTCTGAAATACATTATAGCAAATGCTTTGAAGTTCTCTGTGTACAAATACACTTTTATGTTTTTATGCTCTGTAGGCTAATTTAGCAATTCAGGAGAAACGCCTAACCAACGCTATGCTAGATCTGCAGAAAGCTCAAGAAGAACTGGGAGCCAAGCAAGAAGAATTAGATATTGTGCAAGCAGAGTATGAAAATGCAATGAGAGAAAAACAGGTGAACTGTTCTTCACAGAAGTTTCTACCCTTGCTTTAAGGAACACTTAATGTGTTCTTTCAATTTCACTATTATTCCTTGAAAAGGATGGTGATGGACAGAAGATAAGAGATAGCTAGTATTGGAATATTGCATCTTCGCTTTCTACCTCTGTCCTTTGCCTCTGATCCTCTTCTGTCTTTCCTCCCACCCCCTCAAAAACTATTTTATTTGTATTCTTTATTCAGTGCCTACTATTGTAACTTCAAGTTTCATGTATGCTGGATATGTATAATTGAAATTCTGATTAGAATTCCACAGAATGAATAAGTATCAAGAATTTTACATACTATTCAACAACTGCACCAGAATAAAATTAAGAACAGAAATATTAAAAATAAATACTGAATCATATTTCTGGGAGATGCTGATAGTTTGTCCTGATATATTTTTCCCATTTCACTTTCCCTCCTCTTCATGGTGATAGAGATGTTTGAGACTATATTTCTAAGCTGTTGTTTATCTACCGGTTGGAGAGATTTTTCTGGTCTATCAGATATGTAAACAATTTCTGTTGGTGCATGGTTTTCTCTAGACTTTGCTGGAAGATGCTGAGCGTTGCCGACATAAAATGCAAACTGCCTCAAGTCTTATAAGTGGTTTAGCAGGTGAAAAAGAGAGGTGGACAGAACAGAGTAAAGAATTTGCCATGCAAACCAAGAGGTTAGTTGGTAAGTTTTTATCCAAACCTTTGAAGATGGAAGCAAGTTGAATTGTAATGGGTAGTGAAACTAAAAACATTTGAAACATCAAACTTTTCCTTTGTATCTTAGGTCCCTGTCTCAAAAATGAGGGTAATTGTTCTAATTCCCCTTCTAAAGCCCTATTAGGTGAAAAATAAAGACAAGGCTAAAGTTCACATTAAAAAGAAAAAATAATGGATGCTGTGAATGTGGTGGCACATATCTGGGACACTAAAATTTTAACTTGACTGATGCTTGTAGGTAACAGTCCAAAGAGACTAATATGTTAGCAAGCACCAATAAAACATGTATAACTGAGAATATATATAGAGGCGAGTAAGACTGACACTCAGGCACTGACATTTATATGTAGAAATCAATATTTTTAACTGCAGTTACTAATGTACATAAAAATGTGCTTCTTAGAGGTCATTATTATTTTTTGAATTTGTACTTGTAAACTAACTCATTAGTTAGATCAATAAATGAAATTTATCTCATCATTTACTGTGGGCTGAAGTTTCTTCTCTGCCCTCTATCTTGAAAGGCTGCAAAAAGCAGCCTTGTTGCATAAGTCATATTATAGTAACTAGGTTGTATTTTATTTGCTGGTATAATATATACATGTGTATTAACTTTTTAAAAATGTGGGATACCTTCCCCACAGATTCATCCTATTTCTTTTATAGATAACTTGAAAATGTCCAAAAAGTATTAGGGTCAGTATAAAAGTATGATATCTTCTCCAGTTTAAATCTTGCATTCTCATTTCAGAAGTACAAAACCCTCTCAAACTATGGTGTCATGAAATTTAGGGGGAAAATTTTGAAACTGAGCAGAAGATTAAAAGTTGTTGCACTTAATACCTCCATAATGATGTCTGTGACAGTTTTTATTACCAGTACTCATCATTGTAATTTGTTTACAATAAAATTTAATTTAATTAGTACTTACAAGGGGTTCTACCCCGCCCTCTCCCATTCTTCCCCCAATCACCCCTCCCATTGTTTAAGCCTGTTCTTATGAGTGTACAAAGAAATAATGGAATTAGAAATTTCTGAGTAAGTTCTCTCTGCTGTGTCCTGCTTGTGCAGGATCTGGTGTTTGGAATAGTGTTACATTTGTGTTAACAAGCTTCCAAATGCTGATCTCTTGATTCCTACAATTGCATAGTAAGAACAAAGTAAATGTGTCCTCTGCTGAAATGTACCATTGTCATGCCATACAATGAGCCTTGGAAAAAGGATTGATTAGTCTTCTTTATGGGTCAAAGTGAATTCTTCAGCTACCAGCCAAAACATGTAGCAACTAGTGAAAGAAACAGCTTATTCATTGATAGAATTGGCAAAGCTGTAACGCTTTGGTTTTGTTTTTTTGTTTCCCTCCTTTTTCTCTTTGAGGTGATGTACTCTTGGCTACAGCTTTTCTGTCCTACTCTGGTCCTTTTAACCAAGAGTTCCGCAGTCTGCTGTTAAATGACTGGCAAAAGGAAATGAAAAGCCGTAAAATTCCTTTCCGTAACAACTTGAATCTCATTGAAATGTTGACTGATGCTCCAACTATCAGTGAATGGAACCTGGAAGGATTGCCGAATGATGACTTATCCATACAGAATGCGATCATTGTCACTAAAGCATCTCGTTATCCTTTATTAATTGATCCACAAGCACAGGGTAAAATTTGGATTAAAAATAAGGAAGGCAGAAATGACCTTCAGGTAATGGAAATGCTTGCGCTTTCTTAATCCCAAAAAACTCGTAGCTTACAGAGCATTGCTATTCAGTGATTCGCCTAATGCTTTATAAATGCCATTTATATAAAAAGTTTCTGGTTTGAAAATAACAAATATCTGAGATATATTTTAGTGGATTTGATATTTGGCTAGAGGTGGATGTGTATTCTTTAGCACCAGTCACTCCATTTGTTTAAAGACTTTATTTTAATGAAACTTAAACTTTGGAAAATAGGCTGGATGGGCGATGTCTGGTAATAAACATGTTTTCAGAATAATGTAAGTGTTAGGAAAAAAAGCACCAACTAGTTGATTAATGATTAATACAATTTCATGTGTTTATAAATGAAGATTCACAGCAAGATATTTTTTCATCTTTTAATCAGAAATTATTGTTAATTTCTGTTGTCTTAGTGTGGATGTCAGCTGCTATGTGCTCTGTGAATATACAGGGAAGATGTAGTGCTACAGTGTACAGTCTGAGAAGGCTGTACCTGAAGATAAACAAATTCAATTCAAACAAGAAAATATGAGGAAGAATGTCCTTAGTGGCTACAATTATGATTACACCAATAAACTAGCTTTTAAAAAAAATCCCTGAAGCCATAAAAGTAGTTTGAGGTGTGATAATAGAGTAGTTCTGATAATATTACTATCAGTTTAATGCTGATTGTTATCTAGGTATGGAAAACCTTAATGGTTGCTTAGTTATGATAAAAACGTTTATTAGTTTGTTTATAGCTTTATTAAAGTCTAAGCTGAATGTGCTTTTTGAACATATTGAAAATCCCAGTTACACTGGGGTCCATTTGAAGCAAAAACTGTTTAAGGTCTTGTTCCATGTAAACCTCTAATTTTCAAGGGTTAAAAAAACCTCCCAGAATACTTATCTTGAAATTGATTCTGCTGCAGTTTGACTTGGAGATGTTATGCAAGATAAAATTGAAGGTTCTAAAAGGTTCCTGTGAATTTTTTTGTGAAATTCTTGAGTAGTTGTACTCACGGGATGTCAAAACTGCAAATGCTCAGCGCTGCTTTGTTTCTACCTTTGCAGCTGAAAAATAAAACTTTGCATTCCATGAGATCTGGCAATAGAGTATGCTGATGTTACTGTTCCTTACCTTAGTACTAATCTACTCACAGGATCATTGTTTTGGGCAGTAAAGAAAGTATTTAATTTAAAGAAAATGAAATAATTTATAAATATAAAGCTAACAAAAAGCTTGGTAAATGGGCATAAAATATTGCATCTATGTTTTCAGATCACTTCTTTGAATCACAAGTATTTTAGAAACCACTTAGAGGACAGTCTTTCTTTGGGAAGACCTCTTTTAGTAGAAGATGTTGGAGAAGAGCTTGACCCATTACTTGATAATGTTTTGGAAAGAAACATCATTAAAACAGGTTCAGCCAGTAAGGTAAAAATGAAACAAATGAGCAAATGTGGAAATTCCTCTTTCCTTCCCCTCCCCACACCATCTCCTTAGCAAAATAAATATAGGACTATAAAAAATTAAACTCATTTAAACTTGATTAATGCTAATACAAGAAAAAATAAGGTAGGGTTAAGTTCCCAAAGGTTAATATATTTAATGTAAAGAGTTCCTCTTTCCTTTGCTTATGATAATTTTTAGAAGTTGAAATAAGTCTGGAATAGGCCATTTAAAGTGGTCCTTGACTGTTCTCAACAAATTTCTTGCATCAGGTGTATGGTTTAAAACTGGATTTTTGTGCCTTTTGCAGTATCTGAAAAAGTGTGTATTGGCTCTTGATATTTGAAATATTCTTTTAATATTTTTCTTAAGGTGAAAGTTGGTGACAAGGAAGTAGATGTTATGAATGGCTTCAGACTTTACATTACTACAAAACTGTCAAATCCATGTTACTCTCCTGAAATTAGTGCTCAAACCTCCATCATTGATTTTACAGTAACCTTGAAAGGTCTTGAAAATCAGCTCTTAGGCAGAGTCATTCTCACAGAGAAACAGGTAAAAGAATTAAATGTATCTATTTTTCCTGGCTGTACCTGTAGAATGCTTCATTTTATTACTCTCTATTCCCATATTGCAAAGTAACTTTCTCTCTGTGTTGTGATTATTCTTAATATAATCTATTTGTAATGGTTTAAAAAGTGGCACAGAAGCAATTGACTCATTCATGTGGAAGTTTCTCTGTCTCTTTATTATTGCAACTGTACTGTATTAACCTCATTTTTCTGCCTCATGAGAATGGCCTGTGAAAAGCAAAAGAGCCTGCAATCAAAACTGATCTTCTTCTGTCTACACTCTGGAGCTCATGGCAACATAACCTAGTGCAAAGAATTTAGACTTAGTTACTTCCTTGCTCCAAGGGAAAATGGGCTACCTACTTATTTTGTCATTGCAGATATATTAGTTGAGGAAGTCCAGGTTCAGGATACCAGTCCTAATCCACATGCCACCTGCAGTTCTGGAGGGAGGTTGATGGGTATCTTTTTAAGTATGGGACAGCTAATCCCTGTAACTATAAGGTCAGGCAATGTGATGTCATAAGAAACACTATGCAGCTATGACTGTGTATGTACTACTGTATTTACTAAGATTTTGGCAATAGTTCCAGTTTACCTTCACTAGAGAGGAATAACAGGAATATCTTTGCTTCCTTATTGTGGCATCTGTTGAGGTTCGCCTGTCCTTCCAACATTTCCCTCTGCCCCGCCAATGTAAGATTTTTCTTGTTAATAGCCTCAGTCATTTTGTCCACATCAAGTAGCTTAATTTCATTCCCAAACAGTGAATGGATCTCGTGAGAGAAATCACACTCAATCTGTTAAGGTCTGTTTTTTGTCAGACAGCTTCATTGCACCATCAGCTTCTCTTCAACCACTGACAGCCTGTCAACCCACTATGTAATGAAATAATCACTATCTGTCTAAAACACGCTGTGATGTGTATATTCACAAAGCCTTATGCCAAACTTCATTTCTTGGGCCTTGAAATACAGTACATTCCTCCAGGAGACAAATTCCTCCGGTCACTGCTGTTGCTGTGTGCTTGCTTGGAGGACACAGGAAAGGGAGGAGCTTGACTTTTCTCAGAGGAGTCAAGAAATAGATGGAGAAGTAAGAGACTCAAGTTGGAACATGGGGAATTGTGATTAGATATTAGGGAAAAAAGAATTACATCGAGAGTGGTTAAATGCAGGAGCAGCTTAACCAAGGATTTTGTGGAATTTTTATTCTTGGAAGGGTTCAAGATTCACATGGACATTGCCCTGAGCAAATGAGCTGTTCAGATCTGAGCAGGGGTTGAACTAGTTAATTGCTGTAGGTGCCTTCCAAATTAAAATTATTCTACTATTCAATGGCCTCTGTGTCACTAAATGGGAATGTCTAAAGTGGACATATGGTGCTCTCTCTACCAGCTTCTCAGTGTTATACTCACTACTGTTTTATTTGAAACCACCTGGGGATATTTCCTCTAGATAAATGTTGAGTGGACCACTTAACAGGCAGGGGAACTTCTACAGAACATACTCACCATGTTGCAGTTTTCTTGGGTTCTTTTTATACATCTTGTGGTTTAAGGTTTCCTGAGGAGTCATTTTGAACACATTACACCATCCAAATACTTTTCTATGATGGATAATGATGCATTTTTGGGAATATGGAGTTTCCCTCTTAAGTGTCTGGATTCTTACTACCTTTTGTAGCCTTTGGTGGAAGAGTGGTGGAATTATTTTATTGTGAGGTAGTTAGTCAAATGATTTGGGCAGTATGGCTGCTTTGTGATATCCATTGTTACAATGTGTGCATGGAACTTCTGTCCCAGAAAGAGAAGAGATTATTTATTTGAAATCAGAGTTCTTCAAGATTTTTATGCACGTTTCTATCCTTCCCATTCTGCCACCTCTTACATGGTTCTGGCTTAGAATGAATGAGGTTTAGACCTTAGCAAGGAAAAGGAATGTTTACAGCATGTCATTTGAAGTTTCTACAGAGTCTGACTCTCTGTTGTCTGCTATGACCATTAGAAGAATCTTTGTCACATACATCTCACAGAATTAATTGTTTACTGATAGGAGCACCGGTACTGATTTCTTATTTTCCACCAGAATGTTAAACCAGCTGCAAGATACAGGTGAAGCATAAGGTCAATAGGCAGCTGGTATATCTGTATAAATTTGATTTGACTATATTTCTTGGATTTGAGAGATTTGATATATGTCTGAAGGTAGTATAACTTACAATATTTTAATGATATCATTATTTTGATACATTGGCTGTTATGTAATTTGAAAAAAACTTGCTTATTTAGTGTCATAGATAAGTCAGATTAGTAATAGAGTTGTAATATGCAATAACTCTGTGGCTTTTTGAGTTTTCATATTCATATATCAAGATTTTTGCTGGAAAAAGGCTCAAGTTTTGTAAGGAACAGTTGATAAAAATTCTTGTACTTGTGAATCATTTTGTGACAGGATGATATAAGCTATGTAGCAGCTTTCATATTTTATGAACATTAACAAGAAATAGCATTCTTTGGTACAGTCAGTAAAATGTCATCTGCTTGTGAAAGGAATTCCATAAAACTGGATTTGAAATAGCCTATTTGGTGCAAATTCCTTGAATTTGTGTACACGGTAACTTGGCTTATTTTTTCTGCATCCTTGGTCTTATGACAGGAGATTTTTGAAGATATGAAGAAAGCTTTCAACTATTTACATTTTCTGATCTGCAAAAAGCATTTTAAAAGCTTAATAGGTGATTTTTTTTCTTCACTAAGGTTTTCATCTAGGGTTACTTCACTTTAGCTTGGTAACTGTTTCCAATTTGTTTCTCAGGCTCTTGTGAGGAGAATAGCTTTCTGTTTTGATGAAGCATTGAATTCTGAAGTATGTTTAACTTTTTAAACTGAACTCAGTAAAGCATAAAGTTTAATTTGGCTCAGTATGTTAATTATTATATTTAATTTGATGATAACTTTCTTTTAATACTATTCTTTAAAAAAAAGTTTCTACTTCATCAGACTTGCATGAAAAAAATGCTTCATGAAGCTGTTACCTGGTTTTCTTCAGTTGCATGAAACAGCAGTTGATTGAAATGGAGTTAACTGGTTTTTTGTCTATTTTCATCAGTTTTTGTCAGAATCTTTTGAATAAGTAAGAACATCTTCTGTTAGGTTGTATGTGCATTATTCTAAAATGGTTGCCCAACTAAATATTTTTTACCTGATGATGATAATGATGTTTCAATATTCCAAGAAAAACTCTAAATCAGATAATAATAAGATGGTTTTTCTTAATTTCCTTTTCATGGTAATAGAATGTGGAAAAATAAAAAAAAAAATAAAATGTTGTAATAGTGTTTCAAAGCTGTATAAATGAAGACTGCTCAAATGGGAGAGTAAAACACCTCTCCTTACACCTTGCTAAGGGCTCAGGTCCATTATGTCTCTAGTGCTATATGAGAAGTCATGTATTTCTTAGTGCTGTCTCTGTTTCTTTGGAATATTAGCAGCTGCTAAGCAACATGGAAATGGACTTGGCAATGATGGAGTGAACATAGAACTTCCAGGTTTGGAGGGACATTGTTAAAATTATTCACCAGACCTTTATAAACTTTGTGAAGTATTTAACTAGACAGCAAATATTTCTAACAACTGGTTCACTTACTCTTCATTCATAAGATTCATATTAAACTTATCTTATTACAACCTCTTAACCCACCCTCTCTCTTTTCTTTCCTTTTACTTCACTATGTTGAAACATTTTTTAATATCTCAGTAGAGGATTTTTATCTCTGAGGGACTAATTTGTATTAATTTTTTAAAGGTTAATTTTAAGGATGAACTGAAAGGACTATTATAGCTGAAAAATATTTTTCCGGAGATTTCAAATAGCTGTTTTCTAATGTAAAACTCCTAATTAATATTTATCCATCTTCTATATTTGGGTACTGGAAAAGAAACTAGGTACATAAACCACCCAGATTGTACTACTAAATGTATAAAATAAATACTTCTAGTAAAGTAACTCAAGTCATACACACTTTTTTAAGCAATGAAGTATTTTAGTAAGAGGCTGAAATTATCCCTGTTTGATGGAGGAGTATTGGCACTTCTTGAAATATCTGGTGCTTGATTCAATGACTAAGGATGGCCATTGAGACTAAATTTTCAACATGGTGATTGTAAAGCAAGGCATGAACGAGGATAAGATTACACGGAGGGGAATAAAAACTTATGTCTGGAATAGTGTTTGCATTCATCTTTTCTGAAACAAAAAGAGAAGACAAACAATTGTAAACTCATTATTCTTTTAGGGCATGATACAAGCATCTTCCATAATATTTGTAGAAATGATTTGTTAATGTCTACTTATGTAGCAGGTTAAGATCCTGGCAATCAATCTTTGTGTCAAAAATACCACTGGAATTTCCCCAAATTAATGCAGCTAGTCTTGACCTACACTGTTTTAGTAGGATCACTATTTTTAAGCAAAATGTTTTATTTTTATTTTTGATTGCTCTTCTGTTTCCCAAATATTACCATGTAATACAATAGGAATTAGAGAAAGAAAGAACTGATCTTATTGAAGATGTGACTATGAACAAAAGGAGGATTAAAGACCTAGAAGATAACCTTTTATTTCGACTTACAAGCACTAAGAGTTCTCTGGCAGATGATGAGACTCTACTAATTGTATTGAGTAACACTAAGAAGACTTCTGAGGAAGTAACACAGAAACTACAAACTTCTGCTGAAACTGAAGTGCAGATCAATACAGCCCGTGAAGAGTACAGACCTGGTGAGTGAAGGCAGTGATGGAAGACTAATAGCTACACCATGTATTTAAAACATCAATACTTAAAGTAGGAGAAACTGTAGGATGCGATCAGGAAAACCAAAACTGGTAGGAGAGATCTGTGTTTTTCTGTAAGTAAAATGTATCTAGGAAATGTCATATTGAGTTATAATGGAGAAAATAGTCAATGTTATGCCTCATGTGGAATTTATAAAATCGAGTGAATTGTTCTCTTTGTAGGCTTCCCATTGCTCTATAAACAAGTATATCAGTCATTAGGGTGTTTAGGTAAGTATATGTATGAGTTCAACATGTTGACATTCTTTTACAGAGCTTATATAGCATTAAGTACTCTTTATATCAGTTCTGATGAATGCTTCATCATTTATCCTTAGGTTATTATAGTCAGCACATTTCATGAGTCTTTTGACTTTTAACTGACAGGTAATAATGTGAAAAAAACACTTTTTTTGTGGGGGAAATATCTTTCTGTAATTGCCTACATTCTAGGAAATGTGTAAGGTGGTACAGTTAGTGTATGAGAAACATTACAGATATTGTAAAACCTTTGCATTTAAAACTGAATGACTGCTAAAAAGAAGTTAAATCAGTGCAGGGAAGTTAAATCAATATAGTTAATTTGACTTTTATATGACTCTTATAAAAGTCTGTAAAAAGAAATTTATTTGGATACTTAAACAGCAAACAGCCATAATTTTTATATGTTCTGCTGATGATCTCTATATTGCAGTGTACTATCAGGCTGCTCTCCAGACATGCTCGTATTTGAAAACTGGACTTTACATACTTTGCATTAATTACAGAATTTATTTTTTCCCCTGATGTATAAACTAGGGTTAAATGAATGATTTTTATTATTTTTCTGGCAGTAATGAGTAGAGAAACTCAAGGTTCTTCAGTTATCATTAGTGTTAAAATCACTGCACCTGTTTTGGAGAGTTAAAGTTTTCAGCTCTGCATTTCTACTTTGAACAAATTTTTCTTTCCCATTCTTCAGTTGCAACTCGAGGTAGCATCTTATACTTCCTTCTCACTGAGATGAGCATGGTCAATGTCATGTATCAGACATCGCTTTGGCAGTTTTTGGGGCTTTTTGACCGCTCCCTAGCCAGGTAATTTAGCTAACAATAAGTATAATTTGTATTTACCCAGTCCTGGAGGTGCTTGCAGTACAGTAAAGATTTATTGCAAACTAATATCAGAAAGAAGACTGCTGCTTCTTATCATCTTGACCAGGAATTGTCAGCTTAATACCCATAGAACTTTGTCACTTAGCAAGGCAAAGAAACTTATAATGCACTTAGAGTCTTTCAAAATTTGCCATTAGATAATAAAAAAATATTATACTGCATTGATTTTCAGCCGGGCAAAAAATCTTGATTAGAAAGGATTTTTTTGTTGTTGCTGTTGCTTCAATCTGAAAGTTGTTGCCTGTTTGCTGTCTGATATTCTCTTCTAAATCTGTTATTTTTCATATTTTGAAAATACTGAACTATGGCCTTTTCTCTTTTGCATAGTATTCCTTTTTATAAAGCCTAAGCAAATCACCTTTCAACTGCAGACCTTTCTTCTAACAGGTCTACCAAGAGCCCTATAACCAGCAAGAGGGTTACCAATATCATTGAACATATGACATACGAAATATTCAAATATACTGCCCGAGGGCTCTATGAGGAGCACAAATTTCTTTTCACGTTACTGCTTACTTTGAAGATTGATATACAAAGAAACAGAGTGAAGCATGAAGAATTTCTGACACTTATTAAAGGTTGGAACTATGAATAAATTTTAATGAGAACACATTATTATTATAGAAAATTTATGTATTTGTATCTCCTAGACAGCATGCTCCTTCCTTTTGCACATGAGAACACAGTCAGTTGTAACAATACATGTTTATCATTCTGATCTGGTGACAGACAACATTGTCTGGTAGTTCTAATTTATAGCAGCACACTGAATATTGATGAATATATCTTTGTAATCATGAGAATTTAAAAGGAATATTGTTAAGTATCCTTTATGTCTGCTGCTCAAATACCATCAGGTATATGTTTAGATAATAGAAAGATTATCTTAGTAGAAATAATAGAAAGATTCTATTATTTAGATAATAGAAAAATTATTATTGTACTAAACATATAGAAACTGTAGCAAATAGGAGCAGAAAATGATGCTAACAGTTTAAAAGGACATCGGAGTCTAAGCTGCATGTGACAAGGTCAAGGCTTTGGTCTTGAGTGCATACAAGGACTGAGTTCACTTGAATGTTTGGATCCATTTTGTATTACCTTTTCAAGAGACTTAATTTTCCAGGCAACATTTATTTATGGATTGTATATGTGAATTTTTCCAAGTTGAATTTTCAGTATATCTTTTCCCAAAAAGCATTTAATTTCAGGCACATTGCACAAAAAACCAGTAAAGCCTCAAAATATAAATTAAGACTTCTGTTTAAGGTACAAAATATATAAAAAGAAAATAATATTATAAACTAACCAAATTGCAAACTCAGCTTAATCAAATATGGCATAGTTTTGTAAGGTAGAAAACTCCTGTAACATCATGATTTAAAACCTGGATTATTGTATTTGATTTTTCCCTTTTATTTGGTTTATTTTTCTTTGTCTCTCCAATAGTACTAATGACTCATTTCAATTTCTTGTAGGTGGTGCTTCCCTAGACCTTAAAGCTTGTCCTCCTAAGCCAGCTAAATGGATTCTGGATATGACTTGGTTGAACTTGGTGGAGCTCAGTAAGCTTAAACAGTTTTCAGCTATTCTTGATCAAGTGCGTAAGAGCTTTTTAAAGTTGATCTCTTGTTTAAAAAGTAATTGTCTGGTAGTCATCAAGCCAAATGGTGGAAACTGGTTTATTTTGTAGAAGTGAAACAAAACTGACAGCAGATAGCCACAGTTATGGCCCTGTCTGCTTAGCAGCTTATATTAATAAAAATACTCAACCACCCCTAGGAAAATAAGAAGAGTGTAGAGTGTTCACACTTTATATAATTATAATATTTTCAGATTATTAACTTGCCATTATCCAAGTCATACATTGCAACTTTATTCTTATTCTGGTTGTTAGTTTATCTTACATCCCTGTTGTGCTTTCTTACACTATGTTTTATGATGCTTGTTCCAGTATTTCTCTGGTTACATGGAGTAAAAGTAAGGGAGAAGGTGTTCAGTAAATTCAGTACTTGTATGAAGAGTCTTACGAGACACTAAGTGTAGCTAATGGTAAATAGCTTTTGGTATGGGTGAAGGAAACTTTTCTGCACATTCATGTGGGGAGCAATTATGTACTTGCTGTTCTCAAAGCCATATCTGTGCCTAACCATGTTCTGACATAGATAGATATTATATCATAATAGAAAATACTGATTAGTAGCTCCTGTTTTCAGAATATGAATACTCTAGGGTGTTGCATTCTACAATAGCATACTTATAATCTGAAATTTTATCCTATCATTTTTAATAGCCTCATTAAATCTGTGGAAGAATATCTCTAAACAAATGCCTGGGTGTGGATTACATGTCTCTGACTCTCATTAAAAGTTTGCAACCTAGTGGTAGTGCAAAGATGACTTGTCTGCTTAGTGATATTTGCTTCTTTGATGGTATAATTGCAGATTTCCAGAGAAGAGAAGCAGTGGAAAATCTGGTTTGATAGTAAGAATCCCGAAGAAGAATTGGTTCCTAGTGGATATGGGCAATCTCTGGACTGCTTCAGACATCTTCTTCTTATCAGATCTTGGTGTCCTGACAGGACCATAGCTCAGGTATATTTAGATAGCTACGTGGTCTATCTAGGTAGCACTAGAACAATAGTTTCCAGATTGCAGGTTAGTACTATCTTACATAATTCTAAACACCTTTTGGTAATGGACCTTTATGCTGTATTTTCTGAAATTATTTTCAGACCATTTATGTATTTGTTACAAGGGCAGTGATAACAAAGTTATGCCAATATATTGAATGAATATTATCCACTGTGGTAGCTATCACTGTGGTGATTTCTGCTGGAATCATAAGTGTTTACCCAGATCTGCTTTTTTAGTTCAGAAGATACTTTTGGCTTTCCTGGCTTACTCACTGGAATTTTAGAAGTGTCCCCATGTTAGGCTGAAGTATAATATTTTAATGAACTCGACTGTCTGAGAGAAAACTGAAAAAGATTTAATTAAGAAACTATTTCTTGCATGGGAGAATTAGACCCACTTTAGAAAAAAATATTTGTTAAAGTCTGCTCAAAGCTCTCAATTTAAAGCCATTTATTTAAAAAGTACAAAAGTGAAGCTTATTAAATAGACATTTTTTAAAGAAAAATCATCTTCTAGGAGCCTATTTTTTACCTTTATGTTCTTCTCCAGTAAAAAAGAACAAAAAATTATAAAATTACTTACAATTCAGAACAATTAATGACAATTTACTTAAATTGGAATGCACCACTTGAAATGGGGTATTAATTTTATTGATGCTTGTCTTTAGACATTGTGATAGGATTCAGAGAAAAATCTCAGCAATTATTGGAGTAACTGCAGTCAATAGGTTAAGCAGTACTGTATAAAGAATATCTCTGTGGTGTCTGCTATGTGTTTGAAACAGATCAAGCAAGATTAGTTCCTCCGTACTGTTAATGGGGCAAGGTAAACTTTCATCTTCTCATGGTTTTATGAAAACTGATAGTTTATCAAGTGTTTAATTTTTTTATAATGCTGAATGTCTTCTGTCTCTGAGAGGTAACCCAGAGGTATTAAGGGAAAGATTTCTGTAATATGAAAGCTGTATGGTGGGAAAGAGTACAAGAAAGATTATCTCAGGCTGTTTGAAAGAGCCTTTTCTATTTCTTTGTGAAAAAGGAAACTAACCTAGAATTTTTAAAGATAAATAAAGAAGGAATAAGAGATGGTTTTAACCTGTTCCTCTGGATTGTCTAATTAGTGACAGTTATTTTAATCATTACTACTGTTAATTCATTGCTTGTTTAACTGTAAAGTGAGAAAGGTCTAAGAACTTTGAAGCCCATCTTTAATCCTTTTCTCCTATTTTTCTAGATTTTGAGGCTAGGAGTAATGGAGATAGCCTTAAATCATTCAAAATTTTCTCAAGTATTAGAGAAGTTATTATTTTTATTATACTCTAATTATAGTTATTTTATATAACTACATACAGATAAACGTAATATAATAATTATTTAAAAGATTTTAACTGGTCATATAAGGCTATAAGAAATAACATCTTCAGAGACAGTATGATGGGTTGACATGTAAAAATAAACTTGCATATTTATATTTTTGATATAAATTTTTAGCAGCCTTTGATCTTCTTCTACTTATTGGTAGTATTTACACTGGGAAGAAAACAGTACTAAGTGGTTAGGTCACAAGTTAAGTTTACCCTTTTTAATATAGGCAAGAAAATATATCTCTGACACTATGGGGGAGAAATACGCAGAGGGAGTCATCTTGGACTTGGAGAAAACATGGGAAGAGTCAGATCCACGTACTCCCCTCATATGCTTTCTTTCCATGGGCTCTGATCCTACGGACTCAATTATTGCTTTGGGAAAAAGACTGAAGACAGAAACGTGTTGTGTTTCCATGGGCCAGGGGCAAGGAATCCATGCTCGTCAACTTCTACAGCAGACAATGGCTCATGTAAGCAACAAAAATCTGAACATTTTTCTCTCTGTGTTAAATACTTAGAAATAAAAATCCTGCCATGCAAGAATGTTGTTTGGTGGATAATTAATGCTGATGTAAACCTCTATATTTATTTATATAAGTGTCCTAAGCAAGAGAACTGTCTTTTCACGGTCCTTCAATTTGCCATAACAAGCTTCTTGATACTCTGCAGATGTTTTTCATTGAAAATGGAGTGCTTTTCATATAAAATGGAGTTTTTATAGCTAATTGCAGACTGATGAACATAGCTGAATCAATTTTTTGGTTTTTTTTTTTGTTATATCACCAGTAAATATTCTTCTGTAAGCATTTCAGATTATTTTTTCAGTTTTTTATTTTTAGTAATATGGATGTACTTTGTTAAATGAAGAAAATGGATTCCAAATATGCTATTGACAGTTACATAAACTTGAAAAAAACAAGGTAGCCTAGCAAGTTATTTTGTATTTCTGTAGTCTGAATTTGGACGTGGGAGGGACAATTTGGTAGCATAGGCATTTTACAGGAAGAGGAATTAAAGAACAAAACTATCTGTGTGAGAATGGCAAGCATGCCAAATTCGAACATCTCACCTATCAGGTGATACTACTGCTATGCCTGCTGATGTGAAAATACTGATCTTACTTTCCTGTGTTATGAGCTTCTGTTTATAACCTCTTTTACTCTGACTTTTGCATTTTTCTCTTCAACAAGAGTTTAGTAACTTCTCATAAGGAGCTAATTAGGAGATCAAATGAGAAGAAATTCAAAAATCCATTCAAAAATAGGGGAGAGGAGCACCTTTTGTTTAGTTAAGAGAAATGCAGTTACTTTCCCTCACTGTCTCACAAGTCCTCTTAGCAAAGATTATATATGCCTATAATGAAATATAGTAATTCATATAAGAAAGCTTGACATCTATTGATTGATAGCAATAGATTAATTATGTTTGTTTACTTGGTTATTTTCCAAGCCTGGAACCCTTGTGAAAAACAAAGTTTAGCAGGTTGCTCTATGGAGCTACTCCTGCAATCCCTAATGTAAGTAAAAATGTATCAATTTCTATCATCACTGTAGTCATGACAAGGTATGTTTTAAACTTATTGAAATGGAAAAGGTAGAAACTATTTGAAAAGACCAGATGAGACAAGTAGGGACCACTTGTTCAGGTGAAAAAAAACCAAATAAGCTAACACCATCGTCCAAAGAAACAGCTCACAGCTTAGCTCCCCTCAAGGAGTGATTTCAGTTTGTGAACAATATTGATAACTTTTTATATTCTGTTGTTTTAAACTAGGGAGGTTGGGCACTTCTGCAAAATTGCCACCTTGGACTTGACTTTCTGGATGAATTAATGGACACTGTAATAGAGACAGAGACTGTTCATGAAAGCTTTCGACTGTGGATGACAACTGACATTCACAAGCAGTTCCCAATCACCCTTCTTCAAATGTCAATTAAGTTTACCAATGAACCACCACAAGGACTCAGAGCTGGACTAAAGAGAACATACAGTGGTGAGTGCTAGCATGGTAATGATTTAAAATTAGATTTTGGACTGTGATGGTATTGTGTGGTTGTGTTAAACTGGTAGTAGGTGTAAACTAGTATGAGGAACTGATCTCAACGACATCAGGACACATTTTACTTTTTGTTTTTGAAAATTAAAAAGAAGAGAAGATTTGCTGATGTTCTGTTGCCAGAACTAATTGGATAGCAAAACAGGAAATGCCTTTTATTTTCTCACGTGTTGGCTTCTAGTATCTCAGGTCAAAGTATTTGAATTTTTAATGTTTTGTCTTTTGGCAGAAAGATGACATGGTTGGCTATCAAGTGCTGTTTTCACTACATAAAATAAAGGACAAATATTCTGTGCAGAAAGCAACTGGTAAAGCTTGTACAGCTATTAGTGAATGGTGGGTTTTTTCCCCTGAAGTTTACTCTTTTAATTGGAGCAACTTAATAACATGCTATAAACTGTCTCCGGTACAGAACATTTTGTGGGACAATAATTTACCCTTGGGAGAGGCAGAGAGCCAAGTGAATATCTCTAGAGTGATATTTTAGCACTGATTTGAAGTAGTTTTGGAAAAGACGATTACTGTGATTCTTATAAAGTCCATTTGCAATCAATAGGTGTCAGCCAGGATTTATTAGATGCCAGTAAAATGGTGCAATGGAAACCACTGCTGTATGCTGTAGCCTTCCTGCACTCCACCGTTCAAGAACGGCGCAAGTTTGGGTCTCTGGGTTGGAATATACCCTATGAGTTTAATCAAGCTGATTTCAATGCTACTGTGCAGTTCGTTCAAAACCACTTGAATCGCATGGATACCAAGAAGGTAATTAAGGATTTTGTGAGAAAGGTGAATTAAGATGATGGATCTTTCTAGCAGTGGAATGTATGTAAATGCTTCCTAATAATTGAACTACAAGAGTGATTTTAATTTACTGTTTTTTCCACAAGCATTCAATATTTCAAGTATACCTGTCTCTATAGCAGCAGACTTAGACTTCTAATACAGTGCATGTTTAATTTCTGTATTAACCTCTGCCTCAAAAAAATGAACAAAAAACCTTCCCAGCCATCTCAGAAATATAAACCTAGAAGTACAGACCGTCTTTTTAATTCTAATTAAGTCAATTAGTTAAAAAGGAAGATTTAAAATACTCTTTTATTTAAATCTATTTCAAGTAAAAATAATAAGATTTGGCCCCCCCAACCTATCATTGCAGCATGAAGAAATCAAAATTGGTTTTAAGTGTTTATACAAGAATTTCTTCTGTTTTTCACTTTCATATGGTCACTTGTCATACAGAAAGGTCTGTTGCAGAGCAATTTGCAGTTGGCATTTTAAGTGAAAGGAGGATTCAAATACATCCGTAACCTTTTCTTGCTATCATCAAGATGCTCTTGAATTTGTCAATGAATTATATCTTGAGAAATCTTTTCAGGTGTTCTGGGAATGCAAGACTATGATAAAAAAAAAGAGTAATAGGAAATTAACTTTCTTCCAAATGGGACAGACATGCTACATCAGCTGTTTTTACTAAGGCAGACCTAAGTAAATAAGAAGAGGATTAGCTAAAGTCAGTGCTTTCTGCTTGGTTTTAGGGGATCTCCTGGAGTACTGTTTGTTACATGATAGGTGAGATCCAGTATGGTGGTCGTGTGACAGATGACTTTGACAAAAGGCTCATGAACACCTTTGTAAAGGTTTGGTTCAGTGAAAATACATTCAGTCCAGAATTTAACTTCTACAAAGGATACAGCATACCCAAATGTACTATAGTGGATCAATACCTTCAGTATATACAGGTTAGTAAATGAAAGCTAATCACTTGTTTCTTGTAAGTTCCTTATTCCCTTTAAGTTTTCTTTTTTTCTGAGGATGTGCATTTTTCCTTTCATTCACAGATTAAATTGATTTCTAGCAATTTGAATATCTATTAGTGACAATTACTGTTATCAATGTTATCATCTCCATGACAGCAATATTTTTTATTCTTTTTTATACGGTTTGCTTGCATGACATATGTAAAGACACAGAGTTATAAAAGGGGGCAAAGAGTGGAGTCCAGACATTGGGTACAACCACTTTGAAATAAACTGTCTAGATACATGAGAGTAAAAGTCTATTATTAATATAGCACATAGTTGTTAAAACACAATTTGTTTGGTGTGATTTGGGCTGTGGCATGACAAATAGACCACAGCAAGTTATTTGGCTTAAGACTATTTGAAGAAATTTACCTTCTTACTGAATTTTTTTCTGGTTTTTCTTTTTCTTTTTTCATTTGGTTTTGTTGTGTGTGGAGTTTTATGGGATTTTTTATTTTATGTTTTAGGGATTTTTTTTGTGTGTGTTTTTTTTCAATGGACTGCTTCCAAATCTCCAGCTGTACTCTTTTTATATTTTACTATGTAGAGCCTTCCTGCTTATGACACACCAGAGGTGTTTGGTTTGCACCCCAATGCGGATATCACCTACCAAAGTAAAGTTTCCAAAGATGTATTGGACACCATCCTCAGTATTCAGCCTAAAGATAGCTCTGGTGGAGGAGGTGAAACTCGAGAGGAAGTTGTAGCCAGACTGGCTGATGATATGCTGGAAAAAATTCCTGCTGATTATGTACCATTTGAAGTGAGTTAATGAAATTCTGGCAAAAACATTTGCTCCATCTTACCTTTTATGGATAACAAAACAAAAACCAAAACAACCAACAACTTTTCTCAAATATATAAATTAATTCCTACAGGAAATACTTTGTTTTTAAAGAAGTGTGGCCAAACTATTAATGTTTATAATGAAGTCATTAAATATGTGCTGAAGTGCTTTCATAAGAACTTTTTCAGAAATATTAAACCCATTAACACTTAAGTTGTTTGCACTATGAGGGAGGTAGGATCATCAGCTTGTAACAGAGGTTGTTGACACTATAAAATTTCTAGTTATGTCCATGCAGCTGTTTATTTTTTAATTTTATACTTTTGATTAAAAATATATCAATGAGTTTGGTTAGAATACAAGACTGCATGTTATTGTGATAGTTCCCAGGCATTGCTGCTTTGTTGAAGCAGAGTAGCTGGGACAATTAGTCTTGATTGGTTTGTGCAAAGGGAGCCTTGGAAATGCTTGTTGGAATTAAAGCTGAATTCCTCCATCTAAGGTAAACAGCCTACAAGCTCTTTAAGTGGCATTAGCTCAAAGCATGATATACAGACTAAATCATGACTTAAAAACATAGCCGGTCTCAGCATTATACATTTCTCTTGGAACAAATCCTGTGTTTCTTTCTTGCAGATAATTCAAGGGTGCCAAACTGACCTTTAGCTTCATAAATAAATTATTTTATATCTCAAAGATCATATTGGGATCTAAGCTTGACATAAAGCCATTTTTTTTTTCATTTCTATTGAAGGATCTTTGGTTTCCTACCAACAGGTAAAAGAAAAACTAAAGAACATGGGTCCTTTTCAGCCTATGCACATATTTTTGCGACAGGAGATTGAACAAATGCAGAGAGTTATTTCTTTAGTGAGAAGCACTCTGACTGATCTAAAACTTGCCATTGATGGGGCAATAGTTATGAGTGAAAATCTGAGGGATGCTTTAGACTGCATGTATGATGGAAGGATTCCTGCCAGCTGGAAAAAGGTAGGTGTACATCACTTGTTCTGGAAAGAAATAAAAATAATTCAGAAGAGACTAGATTAAACTGCTAGACTTATAGTAAACATTTTTTTTTCCAAACTATGTTTCAGAAGTGTTAACCAGAGCTGTGCAACTGCTGGAATAGATTTTGTGCTAAAATAAACATAGTCAAAACAAGCCTTCTTTCATGTATAAAAATTGAAATGATCATGAGGGATGCAGATATTTCCCATTTTAACAGCCTGTTGCATATTGTCAGGATAAAAAAGCCAGAGAGAGAAGAGAAATTTAAAATGTGATGATGAATTTTAAAAAATAGCACCCACATCATCGGACTGGTGTTATTTATTGAACATATATAATTTTTATATATTCCTTTTCTGGGTTAAGTAGAGGTGGCCTGTCCATCTTGGTCAAAATCAGTGTACTTTGAGTTTGAGTAATAGCTACATAATTACGAAATAGTAGGTGCTTGAAAGGACCTATGGAGACAGTCTAGTTTAATCACACTTCTGAAAGCAGGGTCAGTTAAAGCAGGTTTCCCAGGAGTCTCCAGAATCACAGAGGTGCAACCCATTCCACTGTTTGATCACCTTCACAGTAAAAACAACCAATCAACCAACCACCAGCCAAACAAACAAAAAATCCATTAAGTGGAAACAAAATTTCTGACATTTCACCTTGTTCCTATTGTCTTCTCTCCTATTGCTGACAAGGATCAGGCTCTGTCTTCTTCTGGTTTCCACATGAGATAGAAACATTATCTCCTTTGAGCCTTCTCTTCCCCAGGCTAAACAATCCCAGCTCTCAGTCTCTCCCCATGGAAATTCCTTTCTGAGACAATTAGAATTGTTAATGGCAATTGATGGAAAGAAAAATGGGGAGATTTTTGTTGTTTGCTTGTTTTGTTTCTACTGACAAAGTGTTTTCATGGTACAAAACCTAGATGTAAACAGGTGCTTCAAAACACAGCTGTATCTCCACATAGTCCAAGTTCAGTTTTCCATAGGTTTTATTCAGAATAATAAAAATGCAGAACAGTTTTACAGAAATCATGTTGTCTTGATATATTGACATTGGAATTATAAAGACATTTATGCAATTTTTCTTCTTAGTTTATACAGTTGTCTAACCTTGCAAAAATGTCGTAAAATGGACAATTACTGCAAAGAACATTAAGCATGTAAATGGAATAGTACACATGAATTTGAACAGAGAAAGAATTTGCTTCAGGTTTTTGTAGGATGCAAAGTTTAAGCATCAGATTAAAGTTAAGATATGATAGATGATCTTCAAATATGCTTTGCTAATATTATATAGTTTATTACCATGGGAGGATTTAGCTCTTCTTGACAGCTGTATGCTATTTTTAAACATGTTTACTGTTTCTAGGCATCTTGGCCTTCCAGTACACTTGGTTTCTGGTTTACTGAGTTTCTAGAAAGAAATCACCAGATTTATAAATGGATTTTTGAAAGTCAACCAAACTGTTTCTGGATGACAGGGTTTTTTAATCCCCAAGGATTTTTAACTGCAGTGAGACAGGTAAATTGTGCTTGAAGTCTTATTCTGCTGATTTTTTTTACATGCTTTCAAAAATAAAATGTATTGTCTGATGAGGGATGAGTTTATACACTTGAAAAGATGTTTGACTGTCTAGCATTTCCTGAGTGAACTGCTCTTCCTTCACACATACTTTTTCAGTATATCAACCACTAATGTGTTAAAATATGTTTCCTGTGTTGACCACCACCCAAATAAGGCTATCTCACAACATTATTAAGGCAGACTAGAAAAATATTTTGTCTCATGTTTCCATTGAGATATCTCTGAGAATGGCCATTAAGACCATGAATTTGCCTTTTTCCCACCTCTATTTTGTTCTGTGTCCTGTACTTACCTGCATGGAGACTGGGCATAAAAGCTATTCAGAATTAGTTTTACATTTCACTTCTGCTGTTCAGTAGCTGATTAAATCTTCAGGAAGTGGGAAAGACTTTCCCTTATTAATGCATATAAGTATGATATTTGATGTGTTTGCTAATGTATGTATGTTGACTTGGTGATTGTGTTGGCTGCTCAGCAACTTTTTTACTTTAAAAGGAAGCCTGTGTTGGTCAGCATAAGGGGACATATTGGAGAAAGTAAGCATCTGGAATGTGTAAAATGTAAAAAAGTCTACCTGGGTGAAAATACACTGTGACCTCAGGAAAAAAAGCCCAAACTTTTGGAGAAGAGAATGAAGATTTGTTGAAAAATATCCCCTCTTACTCTGAGGTCTGGGTAATGTAATCTAAAATTTCAGGCAGATAACATTGGAATTATGAGTGAACAGTCCTAAACTGGGACTCTCTTTTGCATCCAAGCTTGTGTAAAAGGTTTACTGGCAGGATCCAAAACAGTTGGAAACTACAGAATTTTCTGGTTCCATAAAAAGGAACTGTGGATATGTAACAACCTAATATCCCAAGTAAATACAAAAGTAAGTTTCTGGGCTTCACTGTGTGGTAAAACAAATAGAAATGAGAAAGAAGGGTCAGAATGATCACTGGGCTATAAACCTTGAGTTCTTTTAGATCACCCAAGTAACTGCAGTATGGGGAAAACATTCATTCCAGTTACTTCAAACAAAGATTTTTGAAGCCATTCAAAAGATCAGGATAAAACTTTGGTTTGCCATAACTTATATTTGCATGGGATAGTAAAGAACTGGGCACCTGAGAATTGTGTGTTGTCCAAATCATTAACTAACAGGGTTTTTTTGCAGTCTCTTTACATAGCTTTATATCTGATTTATATATATCTGATATAATTTCTGTCTAATGAGTTCTTACTCATTAAGAATACTGAAAAGTAGAGGTGCAGGAAAATGAAGGTAACCCCAGAAAATATGTTTCACTTACCCCATACAGGTAATGTTTTCTCATCTAATCAAATATGTGAATTTTTTGTGTTCACAAGAGCTGTCTACCATTGGCATTCAGTGGTTGTGTTACTTGGTATGGTCTTTAGATATTTTATATAATAGAAAGAAATTAAAATCAAATTTAGTGGAAAAATTACTGAAAGCTTTCTTGTAGTGCCATGCCGTCACTTCTTTGGAGAAAAGTCAGACTTCTGTGAACATGGATATTTTAAAGAATTAGGGATTTTTTGTACTGAAGAGGATATATGATGACCATACAAACTTATTTCTAATAACTGCAGGGAAAAAGGGTTCTGTGCTCATGTGAAAATGTAACCACATAACTTTTGTCTGGTTTGGGCAGGAAATAACAAGAGCTAACAAAGGATGGGCTCTTGACAGTGTGGTGCTGTGCAATGAAGTCACTAAATGGATGAAGGATGATATCACAAGCCCTCCTTCTGAAGGTGTCTATGTGTATGGGCTGTATTTGGAAGGAGCTGGTTGGGACAGAAAAAACATGAGGCTGACAGAATCTAAGCCCAAAGTGCTCTTCGAGCTGATGCCAGTTATAAGGATATATGCAGAGAATAACAGTAAGTACCACTATTGTAAATGTTGTTATTTCCATTTAATTCAGTGTAACTTTTTATTTAACTTCATCAAGATCTTTTCAGCTGTAGGAATTTCATTAAGCTGTTGCAAATCATTGTATACATAGCAAATCTCTTTCAATGGGGGAGACTTCCCAGACTTCCACTGAAAATGTCTTTTCAGACATGCTTCATAATTGATAGTAGGCACTCTTCCTAATATTTACATAGGTGTCTACACATGGTCTTAATGCTGTTAAGAAATTTGTAACCCATTTGCAGGTAAGCTGTACATATTGACAATATGTCTCCCAGATTGAAAATGCCATCTTTCTTACACATAAACTCTGTATAAATATAGGCTCTGTAGCCTCCATAACCTAAATCTAAATAATCTCTTTTACTCATGCTAAAAATTAATGTGATATATATATAAACATATAATGTGCACACATTCATATAAGATATACATAGATTTTATATATATATACAGATTATATACATACAGATATATATAATATATATTCAGATTTATACCGATTTTGTATATACACACATATACATGTATATATTACACTTACAGATCACATGTTATCTATACTATATATGTACTATATATGTATAGATAATGTATATATTTATATTTTTTTTTTCCCCTGGACAAGTCTGATTTTGAGCTCATGGAAGCAGGAAAGAGGTGGAGTGAGGTGGTGGGAGATGTTTTGTCTTTGAGGCAGAAAAGGAATGTAGGAATGGAAAGGAAACTTATGGGGCTTAAGGACAGTGCTGTGAAACTGTGTACTTTGCCTTAATGTGGTGGGTTTTTGCATATAGAGCAGGACATGCTTTTGAATAGGGATGTAAAAAAGAATAGAGAAATCCACTGCAGAACATAAAATTGGAAAAAATCTGTTGAAAAGCATTCCACCTCTAAAAGCAAAGCTTGCTAACATGCTATTTTCTATAGCTAATATTTTATAAAAGGCATGATCAACAGCCAAGATACTAATAAATGAATACTGAGGTACTGAGCATGAGTAGACTACTGTTCTAATTCTGCAGTGAAGTAGTTGATGACTTATACTCTCAAATACTAAATGCATTTCAAACCAAGCTGCTCAAAGTAGGGAAATTCTATTTTGGCATAGTACATTGATAAGAAGTGATGTTCAGTGGGCAGATTGAACTAATAGGAAGACTAATTACTCTAGAATGTCCATTTACATGTCTTGCTTTGAATCAGTTCCTAGGTGCTCATGTTAAATCTTAAACCTACAGAAACTTCAAAGCATATATGTTCTTCAGCTGGCAATAGCAAATAGAGAGCAGTGTACTATTGAACTTGCATTCAGTTTTCCATTTGCCTTATGATCATTCCCTTATGGCCCCATTTTTTCAACTTAGCTTAATTGCTCTTTATGTCCCCTCTGTCTTTTCAGCTGCAAAAGATCCACGTCTGTATTCATGTCCGGTCTACAAAAAGAGCAGTCGAACAGATCTGAATTACATTGCTGTTATGGATCTTAAAACCCGTCAGCCTCCAGAGCACTGGGTACTCCGTGGAGTAGCACTTCTGTGTGATGTCAAGTAATGTTTAAAAAGAAATCAGAATGTTTCCAGGAGTACTTTTCTGATTTTAAATGTAAACATTAGTATGTAGTTAGATACACAGTGGAACACTCCTAAAAATATTATTTCTAAATCATAGACTTCATTATGGTATTTTTATAAAATTGTTCTCAATAAACCTCTACAATAGGCTTATAAATGCTACATCTTATAGTGACATTAACTTTGGTGTCTTTGAAAAATCATGACAAATATTTAGTGTTTCTATCACTTATGTGTGCATAAGCACTCCCTCCTGTGTGCTTAATTTTACCTTGAATAAAGATTAATTGATTTAAACATTATTACTTTTTGGTAGTAAATATTTTGTATCAGGACTTACCTTCAGGAGGCTAAATGCAAAGCTGGGTTTCTTCTCCTCCTCGAGGAATTAATCTTATAAGAGAAATATTAGCATCTCCATTCTCCAGTTGGAGAATATGGACCTCACACGCCAAGCACACTTATTAATCATCAAAAAGCCAGTGTATTTTTGTTGCTGAGTTCAGTAGGTCACGTATCTTAGTGGTCCACTAATCATTCCCAAAAGTGGCTTCTTTAGAAGAGGAAGCAGAGAGAATCAGTATTCCTGGTTCATCTGTTATTCATAAATGCTGTTCTCCATAAATGGAGAAACTGTTTTCAATTTTATGTCAAATTAATACAGGGAGACTTCAACATTCATTTCCACAGTCAAACCAGTAATAAAACTTAGGTGGAACATTGATTCCGTCTTTGATTCTGGTTGTAGAGGTTTTCCATCTTGGTATTAATTTTTTTTTTCTTTTAAATAACTCACAGTGGTACAAATGAAATATGTGAAAATCTTTCATAGGAAATACTTTAAATTTAGACATGGAAATAAATAAAGTTAGAAAGGTTGAAGTGCTCTTTACTGAACATTGAAGCACCATGTTCCAGCTTCCACGAGATCTCCAGATACTTGCTGGAGTTCTAAGTTCCTGTGCACTCCTGTCTTTCACCAAGACCCTCCTCTATGAAGAAGATGCAGATATTTCATCCTTGTGCAAGTCATTCAAACTGAGAATTTACAAGCCACGTGTGCTTTAAATACCACTTTTCAAATTGGGCATTTTTTCTACCATCATTGCTGTAGATACAGTGGATACGTCAAACCCAGTAGTAATTCTCAGTGAGGAAACTGTGCACATTTTTTTCAGAGTGCGATTTTCTGTGGGAATAGTAGGGAAAACCACACTGGTGATCCTAGTTATTCCAAAGGCTGTTAGATCAGTGAAACAATAGATATTGCCCATCATTGCTATTTCTGTTGTTTTAGCTTTCCTTTTGTAGGAGGTTTGGCATCGGCGCTTTAGGTGTCTGCAAAACCACCATCAGGGATGAAATAATTAGGCAGGGGAAAGTTCAATGAGCACTTGAAATGTAGTATTATGTCAGGGGCCAGAGTGCATAACCCTGCTCCTCCCAGAGGTTTTGCTGCCTGGACTGGGAGAAGACTTGGTGCAGCTTGAATCAGACCTACCTCATTTACTATAGCCTTGCCTTGATCTGTGTGGCACTGTGGTTAACCTCATCTCTTCAGGCCCTACCTTGCTGACCCATCTTTCTGGCCTGACCTCAAATCTGCCCTGTTATTACAGCCTCATCTGGCAGTCATTGATATGTCATCTGGCCCTGGATGCTCTCTTTTTAGTTCAGGTGCCATGGGACTGTGTCCTTATCAGAGAGAGCTTTGCCCTTCCCACTCTGCTGTGGCTCTTGGCTTCCAGCTCCACTGTCCTTTCAAGCAGCCTGCTTTTGCTGTGCCCTGACACATGCCTTAAAACAGAGGGAAAAATGATCTGTTTTTTTTCATCTTCTTAGCAGAAATGGGTAATAAAATCCTTCAATGGAAAGGCATATCAATAAAATAACCAAACCTCATGTATTGTAGAATTGGATGTCTAGAACTCTTTGGCTCTGGTATTGGTACTGAATGGATTGGTAAAGAAATACTATTCACAGACTTCAATTATACTGCTGTTAAGCATGCAGCACTATAAAACTGAGGCTCTGAAGGGGTTCAGGATTACAGAAGGTGTTCTCTATATGAATTTTTCATATTTGGCATGATAAATACTTGTATTTTTGAGAGTTTTTAAAAACAAACATTATACAATTTTATCTTGGAAATTAATAGTAAATTAATGTTCTGAAAAAGGCACAGATATTAGACTTTCATCATAGTGCTTTGAAATCCCTCAGAAATTTTAGAGTATTTAAATTAGGCAACCTAATCTTTCAAATATGTACCATCCTGTGTAGGGCATATTACTATTATATGAGTTTCTCTTCAGAAAAGCTTTTTTCTTTGAGCTGTGTGCCTACACTCATACGTCTTAGCTCCTAGGTCACTTACATTTGTGATTTGTTGCACTTTTGAGATTATAAGGAAAAAGAAAAATTCAAGTTTCAAACATAGTGCAATTCCAAACCAGCAGTAAGTGTGGGTGTCACCACTGAAAAGGATTTTTTTAATCAGAAGTACGTTGCAGTAGTATATGTACAAAAATTTGATTAATAAAAAATTGCTTCTCATTCTGAAATATCCTTAATTAAATTATTTTCACAATTCAGTCAATACTGAAGATAATTCAGCTTTTCTTTATTATGTGGGCTTCTTCTTTTCATTCCTTGCTTGGACAGTTACCCTATTTTAATTACCCAGAGGTGGATATACTATGTGGCTTCCTAATGAATCTTGAAATAAATCTTGACTAGTGTTCATATTACCACATTTTAATTTTTAGCTTTCACATTCACATTGCACATATGTTATAGGTGTATACAAATATTTGAAGGCTTTTGAAACACATAGAACACTTAAAATACAATGCTGCAGAGGTGGTTGCATGTGAGACAAGTTGCTTATCAGTTGTGTAAAACTAAAGGTCTATTAAACAGATGAAATAAAAGAGGAGTTCTTGACAGGCTTGTGGATCCCGAGATGTAACATTTACTGGAGTTTCTGGAATTTAATTTACACTGTGCAGCTTTTCCAAGGACTGTACTACTCTATAGCTTTTGTTCGTATAATAAAATTAAAACATCCTGTGTAAGTAATCATGTATTATGAGTCTGTATATTAGTACAGGAAAATGTAATTAAAATCTGAGCTTTTAAAGCTAAAAAGCAAATATATGTTACCAATCTCACTTTGCCCTTGAAGTCTACACATAAAATTATATTTTTTTTGGTATTTAATTGCACATTCAATCTTTTAAACAAATATCTAAAACAAAGAGCTATTGAACCAACACTGGAAAAGTGGGCAGAAGAAAAAGAGGGAAGAAAGGCATCATTAAAATATTTTTTAGTTAGAGCTGTTATTTAAAATGATACTGGCCTTTAAATTTTTAGTAGAGTTATTATTTGCATTGCAATCACTTGGAGAACTGAAGGAGTTATTTTAGTTTTTGCTGTCAGAGGGTATGAGCTATCCTATTTTGGTAAGAAAAACAACAGATGTTTGCTGATGTAAAAACATGATTTTTTTTCTAAAGGTGTTATCTTAGAACAAGAAAATCTACACTCAGAAAAAGAAGAGTTAGGAAACTCTGTGAACCGTCTGTGAAAAGAGGTTAACATGATTGAACAGAAGGCAGAGTAACTTGTTAAGACACTGTTTTTACATGAGTTGCCTGCAAATAACAAAGTTATTGCAGTTTCTCTGTTAAAATGCCACAAGAATGGCAGCCAGTATATATAGCTCCTCCTGCAAAGTGTCTCTCCCACCACCTTCCATTTCTTGAGTATAAAAGGTGTAATTTTTGCAGAAAAATGTAACCTGGAATCTCTTGTTAACTGACCTATTTAACTTACTATATTGAATATCCCATTATGCTTTCCTCTCTTAAAGCTGAATTAGTTGTCTCTCTTGCTCTGAGTGAACTGGAATTCCAGCAAAATAATAGTCGCTTAGTTTGGGAAGAGCACCGTAAGTGATTCATCTTACATTTCAGTGTCTTTTCTAATCTGATTAATATATGCTTAGAAAGGAAATGTTAACTGATGAAGCTCATAAGCATCATAGAAGATTGTGACAAGAGCGTGTGCACAAAGAATACCTAGAAATGCTTTGTGAAGTAAGATGTGCTCAAGAAAAGTCCCTTCTACAGGCCATCATTTTCACAAAACCAATTCCTTTATGTTAACTTCCAGCACTTAAAATGGGCTTGTAAGAAAGATGGGGGAAAACCTTAGTAGGGCATGTTGTGGTAAGACAAGGGGTAATGATTTTAAACTAGGAGAGAGTAGACTTAGACTAGATAAAAGGAAGAAATTTTTTTTATAATAAAAATAGTGAAACTCTAAAGCAGGTTGCTCAGGTAAGTGGTAAATGCTTCATCCCTGTAAATATTCAAGGCCAGATTGGATGGGGCTCTGGGCAACCTCATCTAGTTTAAGATTGCAGGGAGGTTGGACTAAATGACCTTTAAACGACCCTTCCAACCCAAGCCATTCTATGATTTTATTACTTGCATAGATCAGTATTGTTTTATTTAAAATACTTTGTGTAAAATATGCAGATGAGACAAAATTATAATCATTGCAGCCAAAGCTCAAATAACTCAAAAGGCAAAATGTTTATTTAATTTTATACATTAAATAAGTTGCTTTGCATTTCTTCTTGACACTGCACTGTGGTGTAATAAAGCTCAAAAATGCTTTTAGTATGATTTCCTTTTTGCATTTTGGTCTCCAACTTCTGCAATATAATCCTTACTTCTCAAATAAAGCTGTTCTTTATTCTTTCAAAGTAAGTTGTCTCAGGTGAGTTATGTTTGACAAACAAGAAATTTGTTACTTGGATAAAAGGAGAAACCAATTAAGAAATGCATGATTTGTGCAAAACAGAAGAAATTTCACCATGGGAAGAGGTATGTCAGAACATAATAGAAGTGAAATCCTTATGAAGAGTCATGCTGATTGATGATCTTTGGTTTGCAAAAATTTGATCAA